GTCATCTGTCATTCCCAGTGCACAGCTTTACATTTTTATTTGCGTTGATGCCAAGGGATTACAAACTCCATATTTACGTATCTTTAGATCATTCTATGTTTCTTACTTAACAAGTCAAGTACTTCAGTGGGAAAGCAAGAGAGTGGTTCCACAAAGGTTTAAAAAACAGGTTATAGCAAACGGTATCAAAGACACCAACCATGTCCTCCAATAAGCTTATGCTAACTACTGCTGTCCTAACAAGTCAGGCTCAGGGTCCCCCAGCATACAGCCCTCCTGTATCTCTGTGCCTCTCCTGTTCTCCTAGGGACAAACCCAGGGCCTATGGAGCATCTGACAAACCTCAAAGCTATGGGAGGTGGCAGTTGTGAATCTTCCTCCTAGCTCAGAATGAATCAATCTTTCTATTTAAACTCCTCTCTCTGGTTTAGCATCTGCAGCTCAGTGAGTAGGGCACCAGCCACATATACATAAAGCTGTTGGGTTTGAGCCCAGCCCAGGCCTGCTAAATAAAAACGACAACTGCAACCAAAAAATAGCTGGGTGTTGTGGTGGGTGCCTGTAGTCCCAGCTACAGCCTCAGGAGGCTGAGGCAAGAGAATCCTTAAGCCCAAGAGTTTGAGGTTGCTGTGAGCTGGGACGCCACAGCACTCTACCCAGGGTGACATAATGAGACTCAAAAACAAACAAACAGGGCAGTGCCTGTGGCTCAAAGGAGTAGGGTGCTGGCCCCATATGCCAAAGGTGGTGGGTTCAAACCCAGCCCCGGCCAAATTGCAAAGCAAACAAACAAAAAACTCCCTCCCTACTTTCAGGGGGAAAACAAAAAGGTCGGGGAGGGGGTCAAGCCACCATTCCAGGTAGCTGCCAGCTCTATCCCTAGTTACACTCTTAGATCTCCAAACATGCCAGCCATAAGATTTATCAGGAACCAGTTTGCAGTTTAGGTCTGGAAATAGTGTCACCCAAACACACACCACACTTAGAAGTGAACTTCTAAGCCTGGAGCTCCCTGCTGGCATTCTTTACCCTCTTTACTTCCCCAGTTGTAGGCTGGCACAAATACTAGGCAGCTATTCAAAGAGTGGGAGTTACATGGGCAGAATGGAGGAAACCAGGGTAGATAGTTGTTATTTTTATTGCTTCACCTTTTCTTAACTCAGGCCCAACTTACTGGTGGTTAGCTCATAATGAGAAGTAAAAACTCACAACCATCCCACTCAAACCCAAACCAACTTTCAATACAACCTTGAAAGGTTTTTACCAGGAGATGAACTGGCATGCGCTTTGCTAAGATTGTTACCAGTATCACCAATGACAAATCAGAAGCTTTGAACCAATATCACAGACTTACCTGCAGTTTCTTTTCCCAGTGCTCTGTCTCACATCTGTCTTCTACTTCTTAGTTTAGAAATGACACTGTGACAAACCTCTGAAACCCAGAACTTGGCATAAAGCAGAATTTCTTGAGCTCGGGACTACTGACATTTAGGGCTGGAAACATCTTTGTCGGGGGAAGGGGAAAATGCCCTACAGGATCTTTAGCAAACACCCTTAGCCTCTACTCACTTGATGCCATCACCACTCTCTCCCAAACTCATGACAACTAAACACTGTTTCAGACATTGCCAATGGAAGGGTCAGCATTGTACCTGAATGACAAGCACTGATGTGGGCTTATACCTCCTTAAAAGATCAAATGTCAGTAGAATCATGGTGTTGTAGGGTTAAAGAAAAAGACCACATGCCAAAAGACACTTGGGGTTTTCCTAAGGACTTGAGGACTGGCTGCTGAGTTTTCTGTGTATATACACATCTGTGTACATGGATTATCTGGGTTTGGAAAACTAGGAAAATCATGCCACTCCCATAAGAATGGCCCAGCAAGAACTTTTTGGTTATTTTGTTTGGTATAAAACTGTACTGACTTTTCTCAAACCTTACAGCAGGATTTCTCAGTTTCAGCATTATTGACATTTGAGGCCAGGAAATTCTTTGGTGGGGGGTCCTTGAACTGCAGGGTGCTGAGCAAGTACCTCTGGCCTCCACCTACAAGAAGCCAGCAGTGCCCCACCAAGTTGTGACAACCAAAAATGTCCCTAGTAGCTGTCCATGTCCCCTGGAAGATGGAACTGACCCTGCTTGAGACCTCCCCCTCCACTTAAAGAAAGATAAGTGTCTCCACATCCTTTTGTGTAAAGGGGGAGTGTTTTGAACTTTATGCCAGATAAGCAAGACCAGTTGAGACCTATTAGTTTAAAGCATATAGCCTGTTCACATGGTGAAAATGCAATAAATACAGCTGGGCACCTGTAGTTCCAGATACTTGGGAGGCTGAGGCAAGAGAATCACTTAAGCCCAAGAGTTTGAGGTTGCTGTGAGCTGTGACGCCACGGCACTCTACCCAGGGTGATGGCTTGAGACTCTGTCTCAAAAAAAAAAAAAAGAAAGAAAAGAAAAGAAAATGCAATAAATGTTATCACTACATAAGGAGGGATGTCTCTTTCTACATTAAGAGGGCACAGAAGAGGATGGAAGAGGTGTTACTAAGAAGGACAAAAGAAACACACAAACAGATAGACATGTCCAGATAAACTGAGATGTTTACTACAGAAATTATTACAGAAGAGAATGGAAAACAGCCAGAGGGATTCTTGAGAGGATAACACAACACAGAATTGACCAGGAGACCAAGATGACAGCTCTCTGAGTAGGATGTGGCCATCACAATAATCCTTTGGGATCCCAACCCCCAGCTTACTTTGTACTGTGCTTTACAGGTTTCAAGGCACTTTTTTGCAGATGTAAATGCAGGCTATCCTGCTTCCCCCCAAGAGAGAAAAAGTTTTTGATGCTGGCCTGAGAGAGCTAACTAGTTCCTTCAGACTGTTAGCTCAAGACAACGTGAGCCACCAGCAGTCACTGACAACTGGGTGAGAAGGGGAGGGCTTCCAGACACCTGTCTACATGAATGAACGAAGTGGCCCAGAATTCTTCCAAGACCTCTAAAGACATCTTTCTTACTAGTGAGCAGTGTCCTAAGGTGCTTCGATCATGCGCATGGGGGGGGGGGGTCTGATGCCAAGTGGATAAGGTCTAGCAGAGGGGCAGGCCACTTAATTCCATCCTGCTGAGCAACGGGTAGTACTCTCAGGCACAACACTAAGGGAATTACTCTCTTCCCCTAGAGTTTAGCCATTACCTGGGGTTGAAAAACCCTATATAGTATGTATGTCCCTAAACAACCACTAGATTATTACTTTTTTTCCTCCCAGGGGCAAAAGGTACCTGCTGGTTGTTACTGGGGACTCATTTCTCATTTTTGCCACTGGGCTTCTCCAAATTGTGGACAGAACCTTATTTGTCAGGCCCAAATATATCCTAAGATCACCCATTCCTCATGGAGCTTACCACCCACACAAACTCTATGTCTAAGGTTCTTAATCTGCAATGGACCAATAGGACTCAATAAATGTGGGACCTGAAATTCTAAACTGAATTTTGCAATTGCCCAGTTTTTAGAGAGTAGCTCCACAGCTTTCACCAGATTTGTGAGCAATGGGGCTTGAACTGTTCAAATAACTTATTATCTCTCATATGTAAATTCATTTAGGCTTGGATTTAGGATTCTACTTTTGGGACTCTATCCCATAAAACTAATCCACTTGTGAGCAAAGATATTCACTGGCTATTATTCACTTTAGTAATGTTTTTATTTATTTATTTATTTATTAGAGACAGAGTCTCATTTTGTCGCCCTTGGTAGAGTGCCGTGGTGTCACAGCTCACAGCAACCTCCAACTCCTGAGCTTAGGCGATTCTCTTGCCTCAGCCTCCTGAGTAGCTGGGTCCACAGGTGCCTGCCAAAAGGTCTGGCTATTTTTTTGTTGCAGTTTGGTCCGGCTGGGTTTGAACCCACCACCCTCGGTATATGGGGCCGCCTCCCTACACACTGAGCCATAGGTGCCACCCTGTAGTAATGTTTTTAGTAGAAAATTATTGTAAACAATCTAAACATCTATCCACTAACACTAATTAAATTAGAGTACACTACATGGAATGAAAAATCATGTACCCATTACAAGGATCAGGGAAGCTCTAGGACTATGTCCTACTACAGTAATTCTGGGAGAGGTACGAAGTGAGGGAGAGTTGATTCTATAACACTCCCTCCCCCCATACTGGTTGATGTCCAGACATTTGTGGTTGTCACCACTAAGGGGTGCTCCTGATATGGAATAGATGGAGGCCAGGGATGCTACCCTACAGTGCCCAGGACAGCCCTCCCCCAAACAATAATTGAGCCCCAAATGTCAACAGTGCCCAGGGATAGAAATTCAGCTCCAGTGTGGTCTCCAAGACATGAGTAATGAAAACTAAAGTACATAGGATTGTGTAGAGTGTGTTATCACTACGTGTGCATGTGTTTTTAAAGTTTAGTTGTACACATATCTTTGCAAATGGACATCAGGAGTCAAGGAAAGTCCCTGTCTTTGGGGGAGAGGGACTATATGCCTGCGCAGGAGAGGTAGGAAACTGGCTTTGCACTCTACCTTTTCAATTTTGTACCTTGTCCGTCAAGTTCTTGCAAAGAACTGCTCTAGACACCAACTTTCCCTGTCCCTAAGCTATCTGGCAACAGTTTTGCGTGGACAGTTCTGCGTCTACAGGCTCGTTTCTTCCCCTTCTCCCCCACCCCAATTCCGCCTTTTGAGAGAAGGAAAGAAGGAAAGGGGTTCATGTAACTTGCCAACCTATGGGTGCATCTCTTCTCTTCCCAGGGGCTCTGCCCAGCCTTCTCGAGGAGACTCGAGCCCACATGGCAGGCAAGGCCTGGGCCACCCGGTAGTCCCTGGACAGCCGGCCTTGGCCTTCCCCACCTGGGGACACGCTTCAAACGCCGCTCCCTCGCCCCCTTCCGGAGGGCCAGGGCTGGCCTGGGTCCCCATTCTGGGAAGCCTGGGGTCTGTGAATCGCCCCCTGTCTCGGCCTCCGCTTACCTGGCTCGCCTTGTAGAACTGCTTCTTCAGCCCCGCCACCGACATGCTGCCTCCCGCCGTCGGGCCTCCCGCCCGCACCGAGCGAACCGCACAAGCTACAGGTTCCTGGGCGCCGACGACCCCCGCGCGCCTCAGCTGCCCCAGTCGGCGCCGCCTCCGCCACCCGCTGGCCAGCTAGGAGTCCGCCGCCTCAGCTCCTAGCGCGCCCGCGCCGCCAGGATATTACATGGCAACCGCACACTTCCGGTGTCGGCGCCCCCCTCCGCGTGCGCCGCCTGCCGGCCGCTGAGCGCCCGCTCACTTTGTCGGCAACTCGCCTCCGCCAGGCGAGTTGACTGGGTCGAGCTTAGAGGAGTATGGTCGGCTGCAGCGCCCCCTAGAGTCCTAGGAGAGGCCTCAGACGTCATATGAGAGGAACTTAAACACGCCTAGAGTGGTTGGAAAAATGAGGCTGGAAGAGCTCTGGATCCCCGTTTGCTCATTTTAGCTATATCCAATTCGTCTGCGGCCTCAGTCCCTGGCCCCGCATCCTGTCCTGTGTTCTTCCATTCAGTTGCTCGAGTAAGACATCTGAGTGTCGCTGTGTTGTTCATGCTTTGATCATACACTTCTCTCCTTCAAGTTCTCCCCTCCAATTCATCCCCTGCAAGGCAGCCGGAAAGATGCTTCCAGAACACAATTAAAATCACACCAATCCCTGCCTGAACTCCGGGTATGAACCTTAGTATACACTCCAAACTTCACAACATGACCTCCAAAGCCTGTATAATTTGCCCTCATCAGCTCTTACGACTTCTGTTCTCTTTCCCGTCTATAATTCAAGATCCCTTTGGCCTGTGCTATTCTGCTAACATCCTTGCTCTCTTAACACATTCTTTCGTACTCCCTTCCGCCTTGTAAATAAAGAGGACACTGCTTAGAATGTCACTTCGTCCAGGAAGCCTTCTCAGATTGATACTTTTTTTTTTTGTAGAGACCGAGTCTCACTTTGTCGCCCTCAGTAGAGTGCTGTTCTGGCATAGCTCACAACAACCTCAGACTCTTGGGCTGAGGTGATCCTCTCGCCTCAGCCTCCCAAGTAGCTGAGACTACAGGCGCCTGCCAGAACATCCGGCTATTTCTTTCTTTCTTTCTTTCTTTCTTTTTTTTTTTTTTTTGAGACGGAGCCTCAAGCTATCCCCCTGGGTAGAGTGCCATGGCATCACGCCCACAGCAACCTCCAACTCCTGGGCTCAAGCGAGTCTCCTGCTTCAGCCTACCAAGTAGCTGGGACCACAGGCGCCCGCCACAACGCCTGGCCATTTTTTGGTTGCAGCCGTCATTGTTGTTTGGCGGGCCCGGGCTGGGGATTCGAACCCGCCCCCTTAGGTGTATGTGGCTGGCGCCTTAGCTGCTTGAGCCACAGGTGCCGAGCCAGCTATTTCTTTTTTTAAAAGGGGAAAGCACGAACACAGTCCCCCACTACCACAAATTATGCAGTCGTGTTTCCCACATTTGGGGAAATCGCAGGGGTCAGCACATCTGGAGTGCAATGGATGAGCCTCACCCTGGGAAAACCACCCTCATGATCATGGTATCTCTGCTGCCAGGTAAGTAAGACATGTGGCTATTTTTTAGAGATGGGGTGTTGCTCATGCTTAGGCTGGTCTCGAACTCCTGAGCTCAAGCAATGCACCCCCTCAGTCTCCCAAAGTGCTGGGATTACAGGCATGAGCCACCATGCCAGGCAATACATGTTTATTGAAATTGATTTGTGAACTATTATTGATCAAAACGATATAGAATGGATTGGAAACTAATAATGAATTGGAATGACTAAATGAATCCAGAAAGAGGAACAAGAAAATGACTAAAGCTGTCTTGGTGCCCGTAGCACAGTGGTTACAGCACCAGCAACATACACCAAGCCTGGTGGGTTCAAACCCAGCCCAGGCCAGCTAAACAACGACAATTGCAACAACAACAACAAAAATAGCTGGGCTTTGTGGTGGGCGCCTGTAGTTCCACCTACTTGGAAGGCTGAGACAAGAGAATCACTTAAGCCCAAGAGTTGGAGGTTCCTGTGAGCAGTGACGCCAACATCACTCTACTGAGGGCAACACAGTGAGACTCTGTCTCAAAATAAACAAATAAATAAATAAGGAAAGAAGGAAGGTAGGAAGGAAAGGAAGAAAATAAAGAAAGAAGCGCCTGTGGTTCAGTGAGTAGGGCGCCAGCCCCATATACCGAGGGTGGCGAGTTCAAACCTGGCCCTGGTCAAACTGCAACAAAAAAATAGCTGGGAGTTCTAGGGGGCACCTGTAGTCCCAGCTACTCAGGTGTCTGAGGCAGGAGAATCGCCTAGGCCCAAGAGTTGGAGGTTGCTGTGAGCTGTGATGTCATGGTGCTCTACTGAGGGAGATAAAGTGAGACTCTGTCTCTACAAAAAAAAAAGAAAAAGAAAACAAAGAAAGAAAGAAAATGACTACAGCTAAAGTGAATGGAACTTCAGTGTTGAAATCACTGACAGCTTTGGATGATGGCTGGAAGTTTCCAAATGCTTCAATAGAAGGTAGGAGACTAGATCAATTAGAGGGTCGCTGCAGAATATACAGGCCCTAATCTTGTATCCCAGGATACAGGTAGAGCTGTTATGAATAGTTTGAAAAAGGTCCTTCAGAGTGTCTGATAATACACCTTTGACTGTGATCCACTAATATAAATCAGCAGAATTCCTTCCAGATCACACAGGGAAAATGAGGCATTGAATAATGACATGACTTACCCAAAGTGATGTCCCCAAATTTTCTGTTTGTTCACACTTTTCACAACCAATTCTACTGATTTAATATTTCAATTTACCATGTTAGAATTACAAACATGGGCTAAATTTCAGTGTCACCTCCTCACTTGTACTTCTGAGAGATTAAATTGGCAAAGAAAAGCTATTTCTAGACCCACAGTGTCAGCTGACATGGAAGGGCTGAAGTTCTCTGTTCTGTGTGAGGCTTTTTATTTATTTTTTTAGGAGACAGAGTCTTACTTTGTCATTTTCGGTGGAGTGAGAGGGCATCATAGCCCACAGCAACATCAAATTCTTGGGCTCAAGTAATTCTCTTGCCTCAGCCTCCCAAGTAGCTGGGACTATAGGCACCTACCGGAATGCCTGACTATTTTTTTGAGATGGGAGTCTCGCTCTTGCTCAGGCTGGTCTAGAACTGGGGAGCTCAGCTCTCTACCCACTTCGGCCTCCCAGAATGCTAGGATTACAGGTCTGAGCCACAGCCCTTGGCCCTGTGTGAATCTTTTTAAACTGTTGATTAAAAAGGTCTACAATTTAATCAAATGATATTGGCAGGGCGCAGCGGCTCAAGTCTGTAATCCTAGCACTCTGGGAGGCCGAGGCAGGTGGATTGCTCACAAGTTAGAGACCAGCCTGAGCAAAAGCGAGACACCCCCCCACCCCATCCCTGTCCCAACTAAAAATAGAAAAACTGAGTTAAGATCGCTTGAGCCCGAGTTGGAGGTTGCTGTGAACTATGACGCCACAGCACTCTACCCAGGGCAACAGCTTGAAACTCTGTCTCAAAAAAAAAAAAAAGATATTTATATATTCACTCAAGTATTTATTGAACTGATAAATCAGTTATTGACAGATCCTGGGCCTCGTGAGGAATGATTTGATTCCTTCCCTCATGAAGCTAATACAAAAACAATTCATTACTTAAATAATACACAATAAATAGACACAGCTGTAGTTGCTTCAAGGAAAATAACGTTTTAGTTATTTAGTGCTGTTAGGGTTGGGGAGGAAAGGCTTCTTGAGGTTTCAATCTAAAATCTGAAAATTAGAAAATTAGAGCGGCACCCGTGGCTCACTGAGTAGGGCGCTGGCCCCATATACCAGAGGTGATGGGTTCAAACCCAGCCCCGGACAAAAAAAAAAAAACCCTGCAAAATAAAATCTGAAAATTAGGTAAAAGCCAGGTAAAGAGCTGCAATAAGATTGTTCTAGGCAGGGTCGGGTGTAGGGGCTCACGCATATTAATTCTGACACTCTGGGAAGCTAAGGAGGTGAATAGCTTGAGCTCACGAGCTGGAGACGAACAAGAACAAGACCTCCGTCTCTAAAAATAGCCTGGCGGGGCGGCGCCCATAGCTCAGTGGTTAGGGCGCCGGTCACAAACACCCAGGCTGCAGAGTTCGAACCCGGCCTCGGGCCAGCTAAACAATAATTAGCACTACAACAAAAAAATAGTCAGGCGTTGTGGCAGGCGCCTGTAGTCCCAGCTACTTGGGAGGCTGAGGCAAGAGAATCACTTTAGCCCAAGAGTTTGAGGTTGCTGTGAGATGTGAAGCCACGGCACTCTACCAAGGCGCGACAAAGTGAGACGCTGTGTCTCAAATAATAATAATAATAATAATAATAATAATAAGATTGTTCTAGGCAGAGAAAACAGCATGCACAAATTTCCTGGGCATTAAACCAGAAAGGATCAATTCACTCACTCTTAAAGTATTTTATTGCGCATTAAATGCTCCAGAAGTGGCTCGGCGCCCGTGGCTCAAGTGGCTAAAGGCGCCAGCCACATACACCTAAGGTGCCGGGTTCGAATCCAGCCAGGACCCGCAAAACAACAGTGGTGGCTGCAACCAAAGAAATAGCCAGGCGTTGTGGCGGGCACCTGTGGTCCCAGATACTTGGGAGGCTGAGGCAGGAGACTCGCTTGAGCCCAGGAGTTGGAGGTTGCTGTGAGCTGTGATGCCATAGCACTCTACCCAGGGGGACAGCTTGAGGCTCTGTCTCAAAAAAAAATAAAAATAAATAAATGCTCCAGAAGTGCCACCCAAATTTATTTTACTATTTATATAGAAGACAATTTATAATTTTAATTGCTGTCGATATATTCAGCCGATGTCCCCCCCTCCTCGCCCCCAATTACGATAAACTCAAAATTTCAGAGTCCTCAACGAATCTCAGTTCCACAGGGTCATCTTGGTGACGTCAGAACCTGGCCCTCCCACCTCCTACAGACTATCCCACGCATTCAGCCAATCACAGTGCCTAGCATTCCGCTTGACACCTCTGTCTCCCAATGGCAGGACATCTCCTCCCCCAGCCAGTGACAGGTCCCCGAGGGAAGTCCCGCCTCCCCAAGGGAATATTAATAGCGGAGCGAAAGTCGCAATGGAAGCCACGGTTCTCGCGAGGATCCTCCGGTAGCCCCTGTCTTCCTGAGGCGGGATCTCACGTGACACGATCTCGCCCAATCGACGCGCAGGCTGCGGGGGTCGCGGCGGTTCCCGCCAAATACGAGCGCGGCGGCTGAGGTAGCAGCGGCACGGGCGGGAGGGCGAGTAACAGCGGCCGCCTGAGAAGAACCCGCGCCTTTGCCGCCTGGGGGAAGTTCAGGGCGCCGCCGGGGCGATGCTGGAAGAGCCGGAGTGCGTGGCGCCGGGCGCCAGGGAAGCGGCCGTAGGTCTGTTCGGGACTCGGGCTGAGAGGAAGGAGGGGCGCGGCGCGCGGCCTATGCGGCCGAGGCAACAGTTGGGGACAGATAAGCCTCTGGGCCCCAGGCCTGCTCTTAACGGGCTAGGCATTCGGTCCCTGAGGCCTTACAATCCCGAGCTAGGGCCCTGGGTCCCAAAGGGTGCCCTCCTTGACGTTATTATTGCAACTGCGACCGTATGTATATTTTCCTGACCCTTTTGCACATCCAGGGCTCTCTGGGGGACAGGGCGGCGAGACGAAGAGGGGAAACTGAGGCCTGGGAAGGTGAGAGGGCTGATTCTGCCGGTTATTGAGTTCGTTTGTATCCCTTGACCAAATCGGACGTTGCAGCGGGTGGGGAAACTGAGGCTGGAAGTTACTGGGCTTGGGGAACAGAACAGCTGCGTCTGCAGGTCGGAGCAAGCCCAGGTAAGAGGCCCAGGAGGTAGGGATTGTCGAGGAACTGGGACTCGTTCTCCCTCCTTCCTGATGATGCAAGGTGACTTTCTTCTTTCTGCATCTTGGCAGGGGCTCCCAAATAGCGATAGTGAACCAAAAGAAACCAGGTTGTCGTCTCTCCTGCTTGACTCTCCATTACATCCCCAGCACTTAGCACAGTGTTTGGCACCAAGTAGGTGCCAAATAAGTCATGAATGAACTGAGAGCTAGAGTGGACATAAACCATGGCATCTCAAACTCAGCATTACTGACATTTGGGGCTGACTTGGGCACTGTGGGATGTTGAGGATCATCCCTGGCCTTTCTACCTACTGCATGCCTGGTAGCAATACTAAGTCATGACAACCAAATATATCATTGCCAAGTGTCCCCTAGCCAACAAGACCCCACCCCCTTGTTGAGAATCATTGCTGTAGTTGCTTCTAGCCTTTGGGACTTCACAGAAACATAAAATTAATATAAATTAAGTTGGGACATTCATGGAGCTATGATCTTTGGTGCAAGTCACAATGTTTAACTTTAAAAAAAAAAAAAAAACCCTGCTAGGACCATATACTGTCATTAAAGGAAAGGATGTTCTAATGAAAATTATAAAGGTTATAATCTCAGAATAAAGAGCACTTGGTAACTTTATGCACACATGTGTGAATTGTGTGTGTACTTCTGGAGTGTTCAGATCCCTGGATAGGAGAGGGGATCTTTATGTAGACTTGAGGTTGTTTCTGTTCCAATCACATCAAAGCAGGTGTGCTCAGGGACACACTAATAAATTGTTATGGTTGTCCTGAAAATAAATTTATCTGGCTAAAGACTATATATCCTTCAGTTGACAAGAGGGGTAATCAATGTTTTTTGCTAACCGAAAGGAAATGTGATCTTCTGAGTACCTTTTCTTATTCTCCAGACTTGGGGAGGTGGGGGGCAGTTTCATCTTGGGCAGCTGAGTTTCTTTAGAAAGCTCCAGTCTACTTTTAAAAAATACTCACTTTTGGCAACGCTCGTGGCTCAAAGGAGTAGGGCACCAGCCCCATATACCAGAGGTGGTGGGTTCAAACCCAGCCCTGGCCAAAAACTGCAAAAAAAAAAAAAAAAATACTTTTATATGTAGCTTTTACACAGAGTATCTAGATTAGCCAAACTACCTAGATTTTTTTCAAGGCAAATCTCCTAGCAGTGTGAGCCTCTAATTATGTAAAGATGTTTGTCCAAAACTTTCTATTTGTAGTCATTTCTATATCTGTTTTGATATTACTATATGCTTTTCTTGAGGTTTTTTTTTTTTTTTTGGATGCAGGAAAGTATTTTTCCCTATTATTGATAGCAGTTCAGCTCCTGCTTGACAAACTCACAGTGCTTCCAATTGTATCCCCTTTGTTAACTCCCCAATTATAGTATATATGCTACCAAAACAAGCACACACAAACTCTTTCACAAGAAAATGGACCCTTTTCTAATTTTACAGATTTGGTGATGGTGTGAGGGGTTGGTCAGGGGTCAGGTTGGAGGAAGATATTGTGAGGTCATATTAATAGTGAAATCGATAATCTGATGTTTTATCTCTACTTTTACTCAGTTCACTTTCATTGTTCCTATTACTCTATTCATTGGCTTCCTGGTATATTCCAGACACTGAGTTAAGTGCTGTAGCTCCAGTATGGAACAAGTCTCACGGTTGTCAAAGAACTGGCATTTTGTTTGGGGGAAGACAATAAACAAAAAGTTTCAAAGTGCCACACACAAAAAAAAAAGATGCGACATGTGTCAAGTGTGAGATTTCTCAACCTACTGACATTTTGAGCCAAGGGAGGCTGTAGGATACTTAGCAGTATCTCCAGCCTCTACCCACCAAATTTGAATAACACCCCTTTGAGCCATACCCTATCACAACATTGCCAAAGTTGAGGGCTAAAAGGTCAAAATCACTTTCACTTAAGAACCACCTGGTACATAATTGGTTCTGTGTATGTATTTGCTGATTTGATCATTTCCAAGATTTAATAACTTATCCTTTGATACTCTCATTTACAGCCATGGATTGCAAAGATAGACCAGCTTTTCCAGTTAAGAAGTTAATACAAGGTAACTCTGGTAATGGGTTAAATAGTTGTTCCTATGGCTGGGTGTGGTGGCTCACTCTTGTAATCCTAGCACTCTGGGAGGCCGTGTGGGTGGATTGCTTGCGCTTACGAGTTTGAGGGATTGCCTGAGCTCAGGTTTGAGACCAGTGTGAGCAAGAATAAGACCCCGTTCCTAAAAATAGCCAGGCCTTGTGGCTGGTGCCTATAGTCCCAAGTTGAGGCAAGAGGATTGCTTGAGCTCAAGAGTTTGAGGTTACCGTGAGCTAAAATGCCGTGGCACTCTACTGAGGGTGACAAAGTGAGACTTTGTCTAAAAAAAAAAAAAAAAATTGTTCTTAATTTATATCCTTCATTGCATCCTGTTGGGATCCTCAGTGAAAGCATCAAAAGGGACCAGAGGGGAGAGGAACAATTGGTCCCCATACTAGGAAGCTGGTAAACCCATTTTAATTCAGTAATGTTTCCTTGGACTTCCAGCAGTAAATTCTGGGAGGTCTCTGCCTTGCAGGAGAGCAGCATCTCTGGCATCTTCCCACTAAATGCCAGGAGGCTTCTTCAGGTTTTGACAACCAAAAATGTCCGTAGCCCCTGCTGATGTCCCCTGAGAGATAGAACTGCTTCCACTGAGAATGACTGGTTTGTAAAAAGATAAATGTCCACGAATCCTTTTGTGTAAAATGTGGAATGCATTAACCCTTAGGCCAGATGAGTGGCTGGATTATATATATACACACACATTTTTTTATTTTTTTTTTTTGAGAAAGAGTCTCAGTCACCCTGGGGTCAAGTGCCATGGCATTATAGCTCACAGCAACCTCAAACTCTTGGGCTTAAGCTATTCTCTTGCCTCAGCCTCTAGAGTAGGTGGGACTACAGATGCTCACTACAATGCCCGGCTATTTTTTTTTTTTTTTTTTTTTTAGAGACAGGATCTTGCTCTTGCTTAGGCTGGTCTCAAACCTGAGCTCAGGCAATCCACCCACCTTGGTCTCCCAGAGTGCTGAGATAATAGGTGTGAGCCGTCACGCCTGGCCCTTTGGATTATATTTTTTTAAAAACTGGTTTCTGGTTTTTAAAACTTAATTATTAATCTGGTTTGCCTCTTATGACAATAGCAAGTGTGGTGTAGGTGGGAATTTAGGCAAATATTAAGTCCAGAGGGTAAGGACCTAAGGGATTCAGGTATCCTTTATTTTATAAACTGATAAGACTATGATTGATCAAGAGCAGCTTTACTGATTTGGTCTATTACATTATGAAATGGTTAATAAAAGATTCTTGGGCATTTATATGAATGTAGGTTCCTTGAGAAGTTTACTCGTCTGAATTTCCTAGCTCCCAGAAGTGTTGCTATGTGTTGCTTATGACCAGCCCGAAGTTCTAGCAGGTCTTGGGAGGTTGGGTTTGATTGATGAGAAAAGCTGACAGAGTCTGGAGTGTGGGGCCAGAAAGAAAAACCTTTCCATAAATGGTTCTATGTATTTTCCATTTGAGAGGCTGATGCAGTTATTGTCAAATGGGATTTTTGCCCATTAAAAATAAATTTGAGGTTTGGCACTTGTGGCTCAAGCGGCTAAGGCACGAACCACATACACCTGAGCTAGTGGGTTCGAATCCAACCCAGGCCTGCCAAACAACAATGATGGCTGCAACCAAAAAATAGTGGGTGTTGCAGCGGGCACCTGTGGTCCCAGCTACTTGGGAGGCTAAGGCAAGAGAATAGCTTAAGCCCAGGAGTTGGAGGGTGCTGTGAGTGGTGATGTCACTGCACTCTACCCAGGGCAACAGCTTGAGGCTCTTCTGCCTCAAAAAAAAAAAAAAAAAAGTAAATTTGAATATGAACTGGATCTTGAACAGATCAGAAGAAAAATTCTGTCGATGTCCCTGTTAAATGCTTGTCAGTTTTTTTTCTTTTTTTTTTTTAGATAGGGTGCTTGTTTAGTCTGAGCTATTTGATCAGGAAGATTAAAAAAAATAATAATAGGGTGGCACCTGTGGCACAATGGGTAGGGTGCTGGCCACATATACTCAGGGTGGCGGGTTCGAACCTGGCCCCAGGCAAACTGCAAGCAAAAATAGCTAGGCGTTGTTAGGTGCCTGTAGTCCCAGCTACTTGGGAGGCTGAGGCAAGAGAATTGCCTAAGCCCAGGACTTGGAGGTTGCTGTGAGCTGTGATGCTATGGCACTCTACTGAGGTGATAAAGTGAGACTCTGTCTCTAAAAAAAAAAAACAAAAAGGAAACAGACTGCCTGAACTCACAAGTTCAAGACCAGCCTGAGCAAGAGTGAGACCTTGTCTCTTAAAATAGCCAGGCCTTGTGGCGGGTGCCTGTAGTCCCAGCTACTTGGGAGCCTGAGGCATGAGAATCTCTTGAGCCCAGGAGTTCGAGGTTGCTATGAGCTATGACACCACAGCACTCTACCGAGGGTGACCAAGTGAGACTCTGTCTCAAAAATGAATAGAAAGAAAAGAAATAGTTACAAAAAATTTTTAAGATATATAAAACAAAAAAATAGGATATTGGAAAAATACAGAATGAAAAGATAGCCCTCTTAAACTTTAAAATTCTATACACTGGCCAGGCGTGGTGGCTCACTCCTGTAATCCAGTGCTGTGGGAGGCTGAGGAGGGAGAATTGCTTGAGCTCAGGAGTTCGAGACTCACCTGAGCGAGAGTGAGACCCCGACTCATGGAAAAACCCATCCAGGAGCCATGGTAAGCGCCTATAATCCCAGCAGCTTTTGGAGGCTGAGGCAGCAGGATACCTACAGCCTGAGTCTTGAGGTTGCAGTGAGCTATGATGCCATTGCACACTGCTTAGGGACATAGGGTGGGACTCTGTCTCAATAACAACAAAAAAATTCTATGCACTGGCTGGTCCAGGTGGCTTATGCCTGTAATCCTAGCACACTGGGAGGCCAAGGCAGGTAGGTGGATTAAGCTTAGGAGTTTGAGACTAGCCTGAGGAAGAGCGAGACCCTGTTTCTACTAAAAGAGAGAAACTGAGGCAAAAGGATTGCTTGAGCCCTGGAGTTTGAGATTGCTGTGAGCTATGATGCCACAGCACTCTGAGGGCGACAAAGTGAGACTGTCTAAAATAAATAAATGAAAAAAATTCGGGCAGCGCCTGTGGCTCAAAGGAGTGGGGTACTGGCCCCATATGCCGGAGGTGGTGGGTTCAAACCCAGCCCTGGCCAAATACTGAAAAAAAAAAAAAAATTCTACATACCCCTTCCAAATCCCAATGAATTTCATAATTTTCAAGCACATGACTTATTCTACATCTTAACTAAAAGGATAACCTCCTATCTTCATTTCAGCCCGTCTGCCGTTTAAGCCCCTGAATCTTGTCCCAAAGGAGAAAGCTGACGATGTGAGAAGCTGTCAGAGTGCTTCTGTGCAGAGTACAGTCCCCGATTCAGACACTTTGGAAAACAACTGTCTTATAGGTTCTGATGTAGACTTTAGACAAAAACTTGTCAATGGGAAGAGTCCCTTAGATAACTGTGTAGGAAGTAGCATCAAGACCAGTATTGGCCAGAGCTCAGTCATAATCGATCTGACAGAGGACTCAGATGAACAACCAGACAGTCCTACCCACCACAGTAGACTGAATCCAGAAGCCTCTCCTCCCAGGGAGGCAGTAAATGGGGACAGGGAAGAAGCTGCAGATCAGCAGGCCATTCAGAGCCACAAATTGACATTTCTTGAAGAGACCCTTTCAGACATTCCTTGCAAAACAGAGGAGGATGGTGTTGTCTTTGAAGGCAGAGGTGCAGAGAGGAGTGGTAACTCCCTGGAATGTTCACCACGAAGCTGCCCAAAGCTGACATGTGGCCTGAGATCATGCCTCGAAAAGGAATGGTACAGCTGGAGTGAAGCCAGGGGCATCCTGTTCAAAGGCAAGGTACCTGTGGTGGTCTTGCAAGATATCTTGGCTGTGAGACCTCTGCCAGCTAAGACTCTTCCAATAACATCTCTAGACAAGAGTATGACCTCAGAGAGTGAGGTGCTGGAATCAGGCCCTGAAGAAGACTCTGTCCTCAGCCATTCATCCCTGAGCTCTCCCTCTTCCACCAGCTCACCTGAGGGGCTGTCTGCTCCTGGGAAGCAGAACTGCAACATCAGTCCCTTACCGACCCCCACATCTGTGCGCAGAGTGAGTATCTCCTGCAGAACCCCAACATGAGAGTGCTGAGGGATCCTGGAGCACTTTCTGTTCTAACCATGCTATCCACATGGTTAGTGGCCAAGTCAGTGGGGAAACTAAGTTGCGAGGTTTTTTTTTTCTTTTGAGACAGTTTCACTTTGTCACCCTTGGTAGAGTGCTGTGGCATCATAGCTTACAGCAACCTCAAACTCCTGGGCTTAAGCAATTCTCTTCCCTCAGCCTTCCAAGTAGCTGGGACTACAGGCGCCCACCACAACACCCGGCTACTTGTTTTTTGTTTTTTGTTTTTTGTTTCTTTTGGCCAGGGCTGGGTTTGAACCCACCACCTCTAGCATATGGGGCTGGCACCCTACCCTTTTGAGCTACCGGCACCACCCTGTTTTTTTTTTGAGATGAGGTCTAACTCTGGCTCAGACTGGTCTCAAACCCATGAGCTCAGGCAATCCACCCACCTCGGCCTCCCAAGGCTGGGATTACAGGTGTGAGCCACCTTGCCCACCTGTGTTGGGACTTCTGATACAGAATTCTTCCCTATGTCAAAAACCATAAAGTGGACATGGCGCCTGTGGCTCAAGCGGCTAAGGTGCCAGCCACATACACCTGAGTTGGCGGGTTTGAATCCAGCCCAGCCCGCCAAACAACAATGACGGCTGCAACCAAAAAAATAGCCAGGTGTTGTGGCAGGCACCTGTAGTCCCAGTTACTTGGGAGGTGGAGCAGGAGACTCGCTTGAGCCCAGGAGTTGGAGGTTGCTGTGAGCTATGATGCCACTGCACTCTACCCAGGGTGACAGCTTGAGGCTCTGTCTCAAAAAAAAAACCCAAAAACCATAAAGTGTTCTGTGTCCATTGCAATGTTTCCAGGACATCGTGGATCAGCAGTATATTCAGTGTGATATATCTTGTGTGGATGGTGCTCTGCAATTGCGCTAAACTTCATTGTTTACACATGATCAATGGTTGTAGTCAGCTTAGCCATTTTACAGAATAACGGATATGAGGAGGCACTAGGACCCCTGCTTCATCTGGGGTTCTCTGTGTTCCTTCTTTCTGTCCCAATATAGATCAGTAGGGTGTCAGGGTAAAGAGTTGCTGAGTGCTGGTGAAGTGAGAGTAAGACAGCAGAAAGCGAGACCCCTATCTCTGCTAAAAACAGAAAAAATTAGCTGGACATGGTGGTATATGCCTGTAGTCACAGCTACTCGAGAGACTGAGGCAGGAGGATCACTTGAGCCCAGGAGTTTGAGGTTGCTGTGAACTAGGCTGAGGCCATGTCACTCTAGCCTGGGTCAGACTCTCTCTCAAACCCCTCCAAAACAGGAATAATGGCATGGGGAGTTCAATAGAGTCTGCTCTTGTTAGCATGGCTGCTTATCTTAAAAACCTTCCCTGAAGGCTGAGTGTGGTGGCTCACACCTGTAATCCCAACACTTGGAGGCTGAGACGGAGGATTACTTGGGGCCAGAACCTAGAGACTTAGCTGGTTAACATAGCATGAGCATTTCTATACTAAAAAATTAGCCCGGTGAGGTGTGCACCTGTAGGCCCAAATAAGGAACCTGGTACCATTTTTAAGGATCCCTGAAGGATAACTTTTGAACTGTTTTCTGTTTAGTACAATGATGAATGTGTCCGTTCTTACATTTTCTTAAGGTGTTATGGGCAAAGTTGTTATGATCAGTTATAAATCCCACAGGGTGTTTAACAATAATATTCTTGGCTCGGCGCCTATAGCTTAACTGGCTAAGGCGCCAGCCACGTACACCTAAGGTGGCGGGTTCGAATCCCCAGCCCGGACCCGCCAAACAACAATGATGGCTGCAACCAAAA